CCCCAAGGGGCAGCCGAGAATTGGTATATACCCAAGGGACAGCAAGAACTGGTATATATCCCTGAGGGACAGCTGAAAACTGGTATATATCCCCAAGGGGCAGCTGACAACTTGTATATATCCCCAAGGGGCAGCTGAGAACTGGTATGTATAAGGAAAATCAATTTAGGCCCCCTCCATATTTTTGACCCCTTGGAATTTATTTGATCAAACTTGGTAGAAACTGACTAGACAATGTTTCATGCCAAATATTTAAGCTCTACCTCTTTCAGTTTTTCTATTAGAATTTGTTTATGTTTTTTCTTTCGGTTCCCATGGCAACCAGAGTTCTGTATGGAATTAAATTTTTTGAAGAATTTTTAAAGTTGACTACCAAAGGAACATTCTTGTGAAGTTTTAATGAAACTGGCTTAGCGGTTTATGAGGAGATGTCATTTAAAGTAAAAATTTACGCCGGATGGACGCCGGACAAAAAGCGATCACAATAGCTCACTATGTCACTTTGTGACAGGTGAGGCGAGCTAAAATTCATATTTACATCTATGGTGTATAACATATTTTGATTAAAAATTATGTTATACTGTCTATGTAGTTACAGCATATACTAGTACATCTAAATTTACAGCAAGGTATATCTATACTTGCCTTGTGTTTAAAATTATCATTCTAACATAAACAACAAAGAGTTCACTTAAAGGAGCTCCACTGAGGTCCAAAAGCCAAACAATAAAGAATAAAAATAGAAAATCCAAAACAGATTAATCGGGATATTCAATAAGGGAAAAAATGATACTAAAGAAATATCCTCGGAATAAAATTGAAAATCGATATTAATGAAGTGCAATTTTCAGACGGACTTAAGCTATAAACATTTAAACACTGTCGACAGGACATTGTGCTTGACTTTCTACAGTGATGGATAATGCAGAACTTTTTCTAACTTCAAAAAGGGAAATAATTCTGTCAAATATATATATGTGCTCGGACAGAGACTTCCTATTACTCTCATATATGTATGAAGTTCTAATCCACTCTTATACGTAAAAACTTAACCAAGATTTTTTAAGTCGTAGAAGGTGCATAAATATGAGGAAAAAAATATCAGAGGTATGGAATTTGTGTTTAGTCAGGTTAAATAATCAAAGAGAGGCAAGCATGTCAATTGAAAGTTTCCCTCAGTAGTTTTTTTAGATACCAACTTGCACACATAAAAGTAACCTAAGTTTAACGCCAATGCGGCAAGTACTATTATAGCATTAGCTATTCATTGAATAGTCGAGCTTAAATGATTACTAGTATTTTGGAAAAACAAAGAGAGCAAATTATCTGAAATTTTGCAGACACATTTTATACATGAAAAATAATATATCTTCTTCAAATAGTATGAAACCTCAACAACATAACTCCCGTCCTATCATGTCAAGAAATTAAGACAATATTATCCTCAGTGGAGACCCTTTAACGATACTGTTTGAATAATACTGACTAACAGTATTAACTTATACACATTTATGGTTTTCCATAATTACAATTTGTAAATTTTTACAATCTTTACAATATAAAACAATCAAAGAAAGAATCTTTAAAATATAACATGTAAATGGTCCTCATCTCAATGAAACAATTTACTTGTCCTATATATCATCTAACAGGTATTTATATATACCATTCCATTGTCCTATATATCATATAACTGGTGTTAATATAAATAATTCCATTGTCTAAATATTGTATAACAGGAATTTACATATAACATTCCTTTGCTTTATATAACATATAACTGGTATTCATTTATACCATTCCATTTTCCTTTACATCTTATAACTGGTATTGAAATATACCATTTCCTTTGCATATTTAACATATAATATACATATATGGTATTTTTATATACCAAACACTTGTCCTATATATCATATAACTGGTATTTTTATATACCAAACACTTGTCCTTTATATCATATAGCTGGTATTAATATAAACCATTCACTTGTCCTATATATCATATAACTGGTATTGATATATACCATTCTCTTGACATATTTCTCATATAACTGGTAATTACTTATACCATTCCCTTATCCTATCATATATTATATAATATAACTGGTGTTTGAATGTTATATTTATCTTTTACTTTTTCTGACCTTGTACATTAAAATTCTGTTTTATGATATTTCCATTCAAATTACTTATTATATTTACTTATTCATTAATTTATATGCTTGCTAATCTATTTATCTATTTATGTATTTATAATTCAAAGAACCAATTACTTTTTCAAATTATACTTTTCACAAACTATCCCTGATCTTTAAAAAAAACAGTTACCTATATTTTCTTTATATTTCACTGCATTTCTTTCATTTTTTTTAAAAACACATTTGAATATTACTTTCATGAATTTCAATATTACTACAATGATAAGAAATTGATATTTAATGATCTGTTTTTGATGATTGTTATTTATCATATTGTATTAAATTCATTATTTAACTTATCAATATGTAACTTTATTATTATATTTTTTTTGCTGATAATGTTTATTTTAATAATTATGTCTTTTTATCATGAAATAATTTAGATTAAGCACTATGTTAACTGCATGTTTTCTATCTCACTATGTTAAAATTCAGATTTTTCTTGGTCAAAAATGAAAAAAAAAATTATCATCTCTTTTAACATGCAATATTATGTAGTTTAAATACTACATGTATCCTATATCAGTTTTTTGTTGAAAATTCAAAGCAAAAACCATCATCACGTTTAACATGAAATAACTGATCCTTATCTTTTACATGCTGTTTAGCATCATTTACCTTCCCTCCTTTAAGTCCTTGTGATCTCAATGTTAACCAATCATCATTAAACTCCTCACCATCTCCTGATATATAACAGTCGATACAAATCACATCTACAGATATGGAGGAATATAGGAAGACTATTCAACAAACTTTCTGCCATTGTTGTCTCAACTCATTATGAATCATAAAGTCAATTGTGCTTTAAAACTATCATCTCTTAAGGAAACTTTTATATTGTCCAAGTAAACCTACAATGCCATAACACAAGCTTACTGAGATTGTGTAACAATGGTAATACTCTGACTAGTCTCTTTGTTATGTTGGTATGATATAATTGAGATTTATTGTAATAATCTCCATACAATATAAGTTCTTTTAATTTGTTAGATTTTCTAATAATGTCAAATATTTTCTCATAATAACTATAATTCATTTCACTAAATTCAAATAGTTCAAGGTTTGTAGTATAAGCATCTATCACACTAACAGTATCATACAACTCAAGGTACCAAAGTTGTTGATGTTTTGATAAATTTACATCATGCTGCGTCTTACACTCACATATAACATTTTCAAGAGATATTTGTTCAAGATGACTTGTTGTCTTAAGAAAATTACAAAATGTAGTAGTATCATCATGACTCATTGTTATACGACTCATACGTATTGCTACAAGATTGATCATACTAGGTAGGTAACTAACAACTGTTGTACACACTGGGTAATACTTGTCAGTGTAAGAGACACTATAAAGAGACAGAGATTTTAATGTTGAAGTATTTACTTTAAGTGTCTCACAAACACAATTGTTTATCTCATCAATCAACTGTTCATCACTCTGTGTATTATCACTTTGTGTACTTAATAAACTTTGAGATTCAATTTCATATTCTATTTCAATTTTTTCAAGATGGTGAAACATTGGTAAATATTTTGTAAATTTAACATTAAATGTGTTGATGTATCTTACATTAATAGACAGAACAGTGTCAGGAACAATTTGATGCTGATCAATACCTGAACAAACAATATCACAATACTGACCCTTATATTATCAATGACCAAATCTCCTATATAAAATACAGGATTATTTTTTTTACTACTACATGCTGAATTTAATTCTTCCATTGAATCAAACATAAGCTTTTGAATATCAGTAATACAACTATGATCCATATAAATGCTACTTCTTATTGTTCTCCTGTATTTCTGAACACGAGAGTCTTCTGACACAGTATCATATATGTATTTTGAAACATGTGTTGCTAATCTAGATTCTAGACCACATAGCATAGTGATGACATTTGACTGCTCTAATATGTCATTTACTGTTGAACAATTCCGAAAAACCTCAAAAATAAACTTTTTGACTAATTCAACATTTCCTGTACTATCTGATGAACACATTTTTGCATTGAAATTTATACCAATATTCACTGCAGCCAGAAATTCTTGTATTGATTTGTGAATGAAAGAGAACAATGAGCTTTTAGGTTTGGATACAGAAAAAGAAGGACATTTATCTTCTGTCAAAATTCCCCAGTTTCAGACATGTTTGTCGCACATCTTGTGATATTTTTAAATGATCAAACACAGATTTGTCAAATGTTAAGGACTTATCCTTAGGATAATTGAACAATGTCTCATAAGCCAAGCGTGACACACCATATATAAGATGACTATTTAATCTACATATCTCTACATCTGTTAAAATACTGAGGGAGTTCAACATTCTGAGAACTTTCCATACATTCTGTATTCTTTCCTAAAGTTTTATTGAAATTCCAGGTGAAATAAAGTTCTAACATACCAGTATAAATAGCACACCTTGACGTTTTATCGAGTTTACCATCACACCATAAAACAAACCAATTGCTGCAGCATAATTGGTACCTGTTTCAGGCCAACCAGAGACTTTACCTTAAGCTTTTGTTCACACACATAAGGATCTAATGATTCGTTCAATGCTGTTATTGTTTTCTTAATCATTTCTTTTTCATGTGTTTCATCAAACCCTTTTAATTTCAATAATTGATGAAATCTCTCTATTACTTACTCTCAAAAACTGTGAATTTTCCATGGCCGTGATGTAGTAACTATTGTGTATTTCTTTTGTAAAGTCACGTTCGGAAGGCCTGCCTGGAACTCATTCCTAGTCTCACTGTCAAAAAAGACAAATTCAATCTAAACCATCAAGCAAAATAATTATCTTTTCAGAATCATTTTCCAGAAGTTTACTTAAATTTTTTTATCTTATCATATCGCATTTCAAGCATTTCTTGGATACTTCGGATCTTTATGTTATGTCTAAGAGAAATATAAAACATGAAATCAAATTTCTTCATTTCCTTGACTCCTTCAAACTCATCATCTTCATTGTGTCCATCACTGTGTGCCATACACCAACAGTTGATCAAATATTTACAGAAACTACTCTTACCAGACCCTGCATCTCCAACAACATAAATAAATTTCTGTGGTTCCCCGTTCTTTGTGAAAATCTCTGACATGGTCTTTATTTCTTTTTCCTCAGACTCCCCTCTGCTCTTTTCTATCTTGCTTGTTATAGTGGGTTTTATATAAATATCACTGAAGCTATAATTTTCCTCATCTGGTTGTAAAGGTATTGCTGATACTTTAAGTACGTCACTGCGATAATGTTCTATCAATTGACTACAACAACCTGAAATTTATTGAGCAGTCAGTAAAATCAGCAAAGCTCACAAATTATCTTAACATAACAAGATTCCCTCCCAAACTGGAGAGTTCTCTGACATTGAAATGATGATTTTGTAGTAAGTGTTGTTTTGTAAAAGTATAAATTAAATGTAAAAGTATATGTAAAAATTATCACAATTAGGGCAAAATTCACCTGTTTTAGCCTTATAATATTATATGAAGCATACCTGATTTTGCCTTAACATGCCTGATTTCGCATTTTCATAGTCTATATAAAATGCCTGATCTAGCCTTTTCATATTCTATCTAACAACGCCTGGTTTACCTTTTTCATATTCTATATAACAGACCTGATCTAGCTTTTTCATATTCTATATAACATAACTGATTTAGCCTTTTCATATTCTATGTAACATACCTGATTTAGCTTTTTCATATTTTATATAACATAACTGATTTAGCCTTTTCATATTCTATATAACATACCTGATTTAGCCTTTTCATATTTTATATAACATAACTGATTTAGCCTTTTCATATTCTATATAACATACCTGATTAGCCTTTTCATATTTTATATAACATACCTTATTGAGCCCTTTCATTCTATAATATAACATACCTTATTGAGCCCTTTCATTCTATAATATAACATACCTAATTAAACCTTTCAAAATTTATATTTCATACCTGTTATCTAGCCTTTACATATTTTATATTTCATAATATCGCCTTTTCATATTCTATATAACAAACCTTATTAAGCCTTTTCAAATTCTTTATAATATACCTATTTAGCCTTTTTATATTGTATATAACACACCTAATTTAACCTTTGATATTCTATATAACATACCTGATTTAGCCTTTTAATATATTATATTACATGCGTGATTTAGCCTTTACTTATTCTATTCAAAATATCTGATTATTCCTTTTCATATCTAAATCACATACCTAATTTAGCCTTTACATATTTTATATAACATTCCCGATATAACCTCTTCATATTCTATATAACATACCCGATATAACCTTTTTCTATTCTATATAACATACCTGATTTGGCATTTTCATATTCTATATAACATACCTGATTTAGACTTTTCATATTTTTTCAAAATATCTGATTTAGCCTTTTCATATTTCAAAAACATACCTGATTTTGCCTTTTCATTTTTAAATCACTGAATTAGCATTTACATATTCTATATAACATACCTGATATAACCTTTTCATATTCTATATAACATACTTGATTTGGCCTTTTCATATCCTATATAACATAGCTGATTTAGCCTTATCATATTCTAAATACATTTGTGGCATACCTGATTTAGCCTTTTGAAATTCTAACTGTTTTTGTTGAGGAGAATCTTCTTCCTTGAGTCTTTTTATCTCCTACAACATGAATAATAATACAAATAATTATGTTTAATTCGGTAATTTTCAAAAATGTTTTTTTTCTTCTTTAAATGTATTGTATGTATGTATCAGTAATATTGGCATTTTCAGTCAGTCTGTGTCCCCAAGTCATTCTACGTTGCAATATATCTCATAAAAATCAAATCAAATTTCCTTATTTGAAAATCAATTTTATTGCATTGAAGGAATCCTATATGGAGCATCTTTTATTTTGACATTTTAGGTGCATTAGTCCCTTTTTAAATTTCTACTAGATATTGGAATTGAGGGACAATCGCTCACCTGAATATGAATATTCTCCATGACAAGGAACAAGTAATATATTAATACAAATGAAAGCAGATATAAAACAAAATCTTAAACTGATATCACAAAGTTCATATTTGGATCTGAAATAGTGCATGTGTAACAAGAGGGCCATGATGGCCCTGAAGTCACTCACCTGTATATGCCCCCCCCCCCCCCCGGCGGGGTCAATGTAAACCCCAAGGGCTTTTATTTTAACAAACATGGTAGACATCCATTAGAAGATGTTTCATGCTAAATATCTAAGCTCTAGCTCTTTAGTTTTTTTAAAAGAAGATTTTAAGTTTTAACTTCACACGTATAGGGAACAAAAGTTGTCACCCAAGTGACAAATGCTGCCGAAAAGCATTATTTGACTCGACAAATTGTCTCTATGTTGTAGACATTTATTCCAAGTTATTCTTAAATCCTTCAATGCATGACATACTTACAGCCCGGACACTATTATATGTACCTATTACAGTAAACTTCACTTATAGCGAACACGGTTATAGCGAACTTCCGGTTATAAGGAACAATTTATTTTGGCCCGAATTTTGCCCTTCTTTATTTAATATAAAAATATACGGTTATAGCAAACACGGTTATAAGGAATTTTCGCTTATAAGGAACTCATTTCTTAGTCTCAATTTAGTTAAAAGTACAGAAAATTACACTTTTATAACGAACTTCAAAATATCGGCTATCCGTAAATAAATTTAAATGAAAAGAAATATATATCTTTCACTAGTAAAAGTCACCCTTAAAATATAATAGAAGATATTCAATATGAAAGGAAAGAAAAATCAAAATTCATCGTTATTCTTAATCACGGAAAGAAAACGAAAAGTATTGAGTTTAGAAACAAAAAAGGGAGTAAAATTAAAAATGAAATAGCAAAGGATTTTCAAATTCCAAATAGTACGCTCTCAGGTGTTGTGTCTAAAATAGAAATAAACGACTGATTTTTCTTAACCAAATGCTCTTCAAAATGGCGGACGTTTGTAAACAAACAGTTCGTTATAGGTAAATCTGTTCGCTATAAAAACTCCTGATACAAGGAACTAATTCGCTATATGCTTACAAGGAACTCCGGATATAAGGAACAGATTTTGAATGTCCCATTGTGTTCGTTATAAGCGGAGTTTACTGTAATTCTAATTGTGATAAATTAAATGTGAAACTTCAAAATGATACTGTGACCTTGACCTTTGAGGTAGGGACGTGTTTCTTGGACGCGAAACAACATATTGATGTGGTAGACATTTGAGCCAACTTATTTCAAAATCCCTCGATGTATGACAAAGTTACAGTCAGATCACGAATGAAGTGGGGACGCACAGACGGACCGATGGTCAGACAGACGGTGCGATTTTTTATATGACCCCTTTCGGGGGCATAAAACAATGACCACCCCTAGGCGGGTCCAATTTTTAACCCACGGTTTTTATTTGACCAAACTTGAAAATCGATGACCCCTGGTGCTGGGCCAATTTGAACCCAAGGGCTCTTATTTGAACAAACTTGGTAGATACCCATTAGAACACGTTTCATGCTTAATATTTTAGCTCTAGCTCTTTGGGTTCTTTAAAAGAAGATATTTTAAAGCTTTTACTAATTATGCCAATGACCCCCTGAGGCGCTGCCAATTTTGACCCCAGGGCTTTTATTTGAACAAACTTGAGAGACACTCACTAGAAGAATGTTTCATGCCAAAAATCTAAGGTCTAGCTCTTTGGGTTTTTAAAAGAAAGTATTTAAAGTTTGTTTTTTTCTTTTGGTTGCCATGGCAACCAGAGTTCTGCATGGAATTAAATTCTTGAACAAATTTTAAAGGTGACCACCAAAGGAACATTCATGTGAAGTTTGGGTAAAATTGGCTTAGTGGTTAATGAGAACATGTCATTTAAAGTAAAGAATTAAGGATGCCGGATGAAAAGCAATCACAAAAGCTCACCCTGTCAGCTAAAAACTTTTGCAAAGGGCTTCGAGTACTATTTTATAAAAAAAAGAGGACCAAGATGGCCCTAGATCGCTCACTTGACCCATCAAACTCATCCAAACATTACCTAGACAAGCATTCTGACAAAGTTTCATGACAGGTAAGTCAATAATGTGACCACTAGAGTGTTAACAAAGATTATCCATATTTGAGCAGTGTGACCTAGTTTTTGACCCCAGGTGAGCCATATTGACACTTGACCTAGAAATCATCAAATTAAACTTTCTGACCACTTTACAGGATACTTGGATCAAAATAGTAGCCACTAGAGTGTTAACAAGATTTTTCTTTTTTTAGCTCCTGTGACCTAGTTTTTCATCCGAGATGACCCATATTCGAACTCATCCGAGCAATTACCTAGACAAGCATACCAAGTTTGATGAAGATTGAGTAAAAAATGTAACCACTAGAGTGTTAGCAAGGTTTCTCTATTTTAGCTCTAGTTTTTCATCCGAGATGACCCATGTTCGAAATCATCCGAGCTATTACCTAGATAAGCAACCTGACAAAGTTTGATGATGATTGATTTAAAAATGTGACCGCTAGAGAGTTAATAAACAAGTGTGGAGGGGCAACAGACGACGGATATTCATTGATCCCAGTCATCGAATTTAGCCCATGGCCAGTGAAAATTAGTTCGGGCCAGTAAAAATTTTAAGAAAATGTAGTTAAATATATAGTAGAATAAATTCAAAACTGGAATTCAGGCTAGTAAATTCAAAATCTTAAATTAATTGATTGTGATCCTAAAAGCTCACCCTGAGCTTGCTCAAAAAAGATGTCATTCTTTCTGGAATTGATAGTGTTATTTTGAAATAACTTGCCTATAAATGATAAATATTATCTTTTTTACTATTTGAACTTGCATTATGCAATATCATGTTATAATACATTAGGGGTAAACATTAATCTAGCTGAGCAACCTCTCTTTTTTTGCGATGGTTGAACGTAACTTATCAGCAAGTATGTGACATGTTTTGCTGGGTTAATAAAGCCCTTTATGAATAAGAAAAAAGCCTTTTGTTTTCGCACTTATATTCTTAAATATGTTTGGCTGTTCAAATTTTCATCGACAAATCGCCAATGTTGATGATGGCTGACACTAATCTTCTGACAAAGTACAGAACATTGTCTACATAATAAGCAAAATATCCCATGTTTTATAAATCTGACACAAACTGTCATTTAATCTTTACACATAATCATTTAATTGTCAAGTAATATTGTTCGGACCACTGAAGTCACAGTCTGTAATTTTGTTTACGCTGTTACTGTGTTATCGCTTACATAACAGAGACTCTCAGATTGGCTTACAGCCCCACTACAGTATGAGTAGCAAATCATCGTCTGCTGTTTGGGATTTAAGATTTGCAACAAAAAAATTGATTTCATTTTGAGGTTTTGAAAGTGCGGAAATGAGCGAAACTCAACAAAACTTATTCACTAATATGTGATCAGCAATAAGTTTAAGTTTTGGTTATGCTGACGAAATGTTATTCATTGCTTTATCACAATTTCTTGTGCGTTTTTTACACTTAAAAATTCAACAGTACTGGTTGGGGACATATTTTCGGCTGGTTGATAAACTCGGCTTTTTATAATTAAATGGAATTTTTAATCTAATATCGCTGGAATTCGACAATATCTGGAAATTTTGTAAAGTTTGGTAAGATATTTAAAAAATAACACAGACTTTTACCTGTTTGTTTACAAAACATGCCTATAAAAAGTACGGGAATCCCATTGTTGTGCGCATGTGCAGCAGATGCTCATTTTGAGGCCCGCACAGGGGTTCTTTTATATATTGACCGACTACCGGTAAAGCAGACGACGTTTACGTATACATTTTGTAGATGAAATTCAGACTCACTTTTGTCTTGCTAACTCAGAAAAAAAGCTGATTACACAATTGTAATCTTTAAGTGGAATGGATTGAAAGACTGATGTAAAATGCTCCTTTTATATGTTAATGTGTAGGTTGAATACCACTAAATTAATTTCTTCTTCACTCTGTTAAGCTAAGCAAAAATAAATTTGAATCATTAATTCTTTAACAACATATTTCGTTATATGTTAATAAATGATAATGCATGTGTTTTTACGTAAAAATGATTTATATATGTTACATAGTACGTTGCATATAAATATCGTGTTATCATAGATATTCATTATACTAACGTAATGCTCAACAATTTTTGTAACAAATATTTTTATTTGACATAAATGAACAGCAAAGAAATAATAAAATGTCTAAACGTGTTATTTTACGTTTTAACTTACTCATTTAAGAAGGAAAACAAAGAGCCGGAATTATCTACTCACGCGCATTAAAAATATCCTTTTTACGTACCTCTTCCAGGGCCTCTCTAAATTACCCGTTATGTTTCTGAATATAACTTTTATGGTGATACCGAACAATCAAAGTGCTGAAGTTTATTATGGTGCAAGATTCATCAGAATGCGTAAACAAATAAATGAAATATGCCCCCAAAACACGGTTTTTCGGCCGAGTTTATCTCCCAAACCAGTATGTGTAAACTTGTGATTTTCATGCGTAATGTACGCATATACGCATCTTATCTGGAGCCCTTAATGGGGGAAGCAACAGTTCCATAAAATAAATGGTTTCCTTGGAAATTAGTTCCTGATATTAAATTAAATGGTAGATTCACTCGTTGCCATGCAAAGTTAATGTTTGCTGGTTGCTATGAAATTTTACAGTTTGCTATGAAAAGTCAATGGCTGCTATAGATTGCTATGAAATCTCAGCTTTAGCTCTTGTAGATTCAGGGAAGAATTTGTTTTTAATTTTTTTTACTATAAACATATAAGGTAAATCAATGTAACCCCAGGGCGGAGCGGGGGCTATAATTTAAACAATTTTTGTGGAGGTCCATGTGACAGTGTTATATGCCAAATATCTAAGCTTCTTTAGTATAACAGAAGATTTATTTTTCCTATCTACAGATAAGGAAAATCATTTACCCCCTGGGGCAGGGCAAATTTTATCCTAAACAAACTTGGTAAACAAATACTAGAAGATGTTTCATTTTAAATATCTTAGCTCAGGCTCTTTTGGGTTTTCTTAAAGAATATTTCTTTGTGTATTAACTATTTACATACCTGTATAAAGGAAATTTAATGGCCAAATGGTTTTTATTTGAGCAAATTTGGAAGAAACCCATTGGCATAAGTTCCATGCATAATATCTAAGCTCTATGGCATTCCGATTTTTAAAAGTTTTTTTTTAGATTTTCCATTGGTTCAAAGGCAACCAGAATTTAGCATTGAATGGAATTTTTTGAATCATTTTAAAGGGCTTCATGCTAGAAATATTACTGCTTATATTTAAAATATCAGCCAATTGGTATAAGAGATGTTAAGAGATAAACGCCATGTTTTGAAGGATGCACACCAGACGCAGAGTGATCACAAAAGATCAACCTTGAGTACTTTGTGTTCAGGTGAGATAAAAAGTGGATGACAATATGCATCATGAAATAACAAAGCTTGCTAACCTTATTGTGTGCCTTGACAAGCAAATAATACTGGTTTATACAAACATTAGTTATCTTAAAACCATGGCTGAATGCAATACATGAACTGGTATCTTAAGTGGAAACAAACAATCGCTAAAACATTTTACCTGTTTTTGCTCTTCCATTATTGTCTCAAGAATAGTAAATTTCTTTTTTAAATCTGCATGTTCTTTCTCAGCCTCTAGTTGTCCTTTCTTTTCTTCAGAAATCTGTTTCTCCAGATTTGCAAGTTTGTTTTCAAGTTTTTCAGTCTCAACTTTTCCCTCTGAGAGTTTACTTTTCAGGTCCTCATATTCTTCTTTAGTAGCAGCATTTTCCGTTGATTTCAAAACTTTTGACATTTCGTCCTTGATTTGCCCCAGAATATCTTCAAAACCTTCAGTAGTAACAATGAAGTCCTTCTTCTTCAGCTGATGAAAATAACAATTTTGTTACATTTTCTTTAAGACTACATTAGCTATGTGATTTTTAAACTTCACTCTTACATATAACATATTTTAAAGCAATATCGTTTTATTTCAAAAATACCTCAATTGTTCTTTATGTTAATTTTAACACTTTTCTGTTGCATTCTTAAATCTTATAAGAGGGTATGTAGTATAGGTATCTGGCTATCAGTCTCCTTTTTTCATTCTTCTGTTAATTTGTCTACATTTATTTCAATGCAACCAGTGTGACTATCCAAAAAGTTCAAATATTAAAAGTTTTCAGAATTCTTTTAATACTTCTCAGTTTCTTCATTTCACACTTAAATCAAGGATTTGACATGCTTGACATGTTTAGATTCTAATAGGGGTTAAGATATATAATTATGGTCACAGCTAAATGGGAGATACAAACATTTTGCAGGTTTTATTATCTCAAGTATAATAATCATTCACACCCCTTTTCAATGTCTGGATGTTGGAAGTAAATTTGTGTTGCTATAATCCAAATTTTACCACAATATCAGAATTCAGAAGTCCTCAAAAATTCAGAGGTATGAATTATATAGAATTTTGGTACCCAAAATATTGTTCGGATTTCAAAGTTTTTGGATTTCAGAAGTTCCTTACAAACTAAAATCTCTTTTGCTTATAATTTAACATTTTATAGGTACATATATATTTTCATGTGACTTTATCAATTAACTTAAGGGAATTATTATAACCACTTCAAACTCTGTTACCTTAACTTTGTCCTGAATTATGTGGCATGTTCTCTTTAATCATTTTAAGTTAACTCCATAAAGATTTCAAACTGATATAATTAATTATTTACACTTACATCTTGAAGTTTATTCACTGCTATCTGGGCATCTGGTTGTTGTAATAGCTCTTTACCATCTTGTAAAACTGCTATCATATCGTCAATATATGAATTGGCCTCACTTTCTTCTAATTCCATGCTGCTTGAGTGGAAAATATTATTTCTATACTGACGTACCTATTGAATAGAAAACACAGGTTTTAATATCATTCTATGCATATACATGTGTATACTGTTAAGCTATCAAAATTGGTTTGTTGACACTTGTTTAGGTACTTACCTTCATAAAAGATGCAATCATAAATTTTACCAGACCTTTTTCTTACATGTATAATATTCATTGCAAATTTGGGGACATTGTGTCTAAGACTTAATTTTTTATTCAAATAAGGAAAAAATAATTGTTAAAGGGAAAGACAAGGTTAGAATAGAAACTTGATTTCAGAAAAAGAATACTATAAATAATAAATCTGCAAATTTTCTGCCGCCAAATAATAATATTAAACGAATGATATCAAAATTTAAATCGCTAAATCACCGATTTCTACAAATCAGTAAGCGCGGCCATGTTTGTGTATTGGCCGTATAAAAACAGGTGCGCGTGATGTCATTTCCCCACATCTTTAGATTCATGATAAATCTAGTTGAATCGTAAGGAAATATAATATAATAAAGTATTGACCAGACAATTTAATTTTCAGAGGAGATTTTTTATGGTTCAAAATACGCAACAATATCAAAAAAAAAAAAATAATAAATAAAGAAACGTACGGCTAGCCAAAAGTTCTAGCCGTACGTGAGTCACGAACGACTAGCCAAGACGCACTGTATTGTCTAGCCCATCTAGTCTAGCCGTACGGCACTTTTCAAAATTATATGGAAGTCGATCGTTATAAAATTGTTGATTTTCATGCTTATCATTTGTTGTTTTATTTGTATGAATTATTAAATCATTTTTGTTAATTTCAAGCACATGGATCGAATAAAAAATGATTGGAGTGGAATAAATAAATAAAAAGAACATTGAATGAAAAAAAAAACGGTGAAATGCAAAAATAATTATATAATTTTCAAAACAGTAGATAAATATCGAACATAAAAGCACAGTCAATCAATTAATTAGCCTTAATTAAAACCTATCCAGGGACTGACAATAGAATTTTAGAATGCCTTTCACGGAACATGCAAACTTTCCTTGATGGACAAACTTCTATACAGTACCGTCGGTAATTGTCGCAATTATCAAGAGCCTAACAACAGTCATTTTCAGTGTTTGTTGTTGTTTTTTTCGTATTAAAGGTGTCGAAAATTAAAATTAATGAAACAAAAAAAGGATTATTATCAAAATTTTGTTAACTATTTCAATTGGTGTAAATGCAAGCAAAGGCAATTTTTTCTCGACATCTTGCGATGACAAAGATCGATATATATATAGCGATCAAGGCGATTAATCTCTAAAAAGTTAATATCCGAAGACAATTAATGCTGTTTCTTGGTTAAAATCCTTGCTTAAAGTCATAATATAACATATGCTTTTTCGACTTCCATAAAATTTTGAAAAGTGCCGTACGGCTAGCCAATATACAGTGTGTCCTTGCTAGTCGTACGTGAATCACGTACGGCTAAAACTTTTGGCTAGCCGTACGGGCCCGTACGCTAGCCACTTCCATTATAAAAACCCTACTAAAATGTGTTCTTAATAGTTCATATATTTAAATTTTTGCAGTTTGATTCTGACTTTCAAATTTAAAGGTGTGAACATATGTTATAATTGATGTACGCATTTCAAAAATGTAAGCAACTCTTTTGAAAAGTAAATTGTTAACATGTCTGTCAACGTTTGATGCTGGGCATCGTTATCGTAGCCTAATATTAACTGCAGGCAAATCATTTTTATTGGCTGCTCAAAAATCTAATTTGCATAATTTATTCACACAATTGCTGGTTCTTACTACTTATGTCTAATACTGCGCATTGTCCATTTTAATTGTTCCTAATTTGCACCAAATGTTCCTGTCACACTGTGTACTGACGATTTTTATTGCTCCTTGTATGCCTCTGTGCCGACAGACCTTTTGATCATGCACAATGTTGCCCTGATTGGTTAATCACCCTTGTCAAATATTCTAATGACGAAATAGACATCTATTTTTTTTTACGCTTCATCAGTGAACTGAATGACCTTAGGGGGAATTAGGTTCCACACCTGTCAGTAAATTACAGCACGTCATAAAATAGCAACACATTTTTTTCAGTTACCAATATATAATCATTTTAAATATTAAGTAGATTTATGATTTTTGTTTTATTGGATTAAATTTACGGTAGAAGAAATGCGTATCTGTCGGGGAAAGGAATTTGGTAAGTAGATAACGTGGAAAAAAGCTTTAGGGAACTGGATAAACCCGAGAATATGCGTAATTATAGGGGAATGGGCAACATGTTGCTTTTGGTACCAGTTTTGACTGGGTGCCTAAATAACCTAACGGACAGTTTTGTTTTTATACGATATTAGTCTGGCTGCCGATTTTCCTGCGCCATTCTCATTTTTAGCGTCAATGGCGGAAAAATGGCGTCCTCAGCATATTGGATTTAGTTGATATTTTACCTGAAAAAAAAGATACATGACCGGCGATGTACCCTATTTGGACAGCTTGTCTAGCGAAAGTTAAGTAGAAAATAAAAGGATATATCGTCAATTTGAAGAAGTTTTTCATAGTACCCAAATTAAATTTATTGTTTTTCTTTGAAAATTAAGCAGTCATTGCGGGATCATCAGCAAGCTTGAATATCGGACAAATGATAATTAATGTCGCGGCGTCTTCAATTAATTAATTAAAGCAATTCAGTTCCATATGATGTTTTCATAAATAATTAGATTGTACGCAATAAAATTAATAAGTTCTTCATCAAGATATATTTCAGTTGTACCAGCGTGTACACCTATACCGGAAGTGGGTATTACACGTCACAATCTCGGTCTCGTCTGTCTCGTGAGAATGACAGAACGCCAAAATGGCGGCGCCCATGAACTTATTTCTCAAGTAAAAAATAGTGTCTTTAAACACGAATTTCTCTCTTATAGGGTTGATGTCAATAGGAAAACTGTCATGGTTCCTCTTTTTAAATGATGAATATTTATATTAGACAGACATCAATCCATCCATTCCTATTCCTTTAAATTTATTATTTGGGGAAAAAAATGCCAGCATATAAGATGTGCATACTCTTTAAATAAAGCTAAATTAATATTACTGAAACTGATAAGAATTTAAAAGATATCTGAAACATTTGGAACGTCCACACCAAATACAAAATGTTTGTACCTTTTTTCAAATCACTGACTTCGGGAAAGGGATTTTTTTGGGATTGGGAAAAAAGGACAAAGTTTGCATTGGGAATGCCCAGGCCTATATTTGGACACATCGGATACGGAACAAGAGATGTCACAGGAGACAGCAAAGCTCGACTAATAAAATACTGGACGCAGTAAGGAGGACAAAGCAATGAAAGAAAAATCAATTATGTATAATTATGTATTAAGTTAAAGTAAAAAAACATTTTGTTAACAAAAATTCCAAGATCAAGGGGAATAATTCTAGAAATAGTCACACTAGAGTTATGAATCTTGTCACACAACATGTGTGTAATGATAAGAAATATATATTTGAAATTTGAAGTAGATACCTTAAAAAGTAAAGAAGTTATAATATTTCTTAAAGAAAATCCTTAGTTCAAAGAGAGATAAATCTGTAAATATTGCTTCAAAAGTTATAAACATTGTCACATAAAATGTAATTGATGATAAGGAATATATAAGTATTTGAAGTTTGAGGTAGATACCTTTAAATCTAAAAAAGTTATACAATGTAGTAAAAAGGAATATTTTTAAGGAAAATTCTAAGTTCAAGGGGAGATAAATCTGAAAATATTGGTGCTAGAGTTATGAACCTTGTCACATAAGATGGGGATGATGATAAGGTACATATATTTGAAGTATGAGGTTGATCCCTTAACAAATAAAGAAGTTACAGTAAAAAATAGTATTTTTTGAGGAAAATTCTAAGTTCAAGGGGAGATAAATCTGAAAATATTGGTGCTAGAGTTATGAACCTTGTCACATAAGATGGGGATGATGATAACGTACATATATTTGAAGTATGAGGTTGATCCCTTAACAAATAAAGAAGTAACAGTAAAAAATAGTATATTTAAGGAAATTTCTAAGTTCAAGGGGAGATAAATCTAAACATGTTGGTGCTAGAGTTATGAACCTTGTCACATAAGATGACGTTGATGATAAGGAACATACATTTGAAGTTTGAAGTTGATACCTTAAAAAATGACATAGTTATAGTGAAAAATATTTTACTGCACCAAAACTTTAATCTGAAATCTGGACGCGGAGGCCGGGGCGAGTAGGACAGCTCTCCATATACTTTGTATAGTCGAGCTAAAAATAGGCCTGTATACAAATAGTTCTATATACAAATCTACAATTGTACATGTTTACAATAAATATTAACCACAAGCCTTGTGAATTGTTATCATAAACGATTGGTGGATTTTTATACATTTGTTGTGAATCATTAAATGGGTGAATAACTTCATAACCTTCTTAGTTAAACTAGAACTGCCACTGTCATGGCGTGAATACCCCCGCATACCACTTTGTCAGAATAAAGCTCAAGGACAACTCCCCTGCCAAATCTGAAGGTAGTATGCCATTGCATTGCTACATTATGTATTCTACATGTTTTGTTTTTGTGGCAAAGATCAAAGTGACCTTTACCTTTGACCTCAAAACTAAAACTGCCACTGGCCCACTGCATGACTTGAATACCCCCATTCATGCAGCTTTGCCTGGGGTGTTTTATGATGAATATATGAGAACATAATTTTTATGCTTCAAATATGAAAATGTCAAAATCAATATCACTTTAGACAGGCATTCTTAAGCATTTGAGTGGACAAACTTATTGAAGTAAAAGCCCCTGTGACCTTGACCTTTGACCCAGTGACCTCAAAATCAATAGGGTCATCTACTTATCATGCCTAACCTACTGCCAAATATAAAAACTGTGGGTCAAAGGAATCTTGATTTATTGGGCAGACAGTCACAAGGAAAATCCGACGGCCGGATGGACGTGCTGATGACGAGCTGTCAGTCCTGTATACCCCCTTACAACTTTGTTGTGCAGGAGTATAAATATAATTTTCTCTTTTACTTAAATGCTAAATATACAACATTTACATTACAATAGAGCTGATAAAATATAAGTAAAATATATTTTATGAATGATTTACCTTTGAAAAAAGGTTGTTTGTTCCTGTGACATTGCATGCAATGTGGCTATGAAAATACTGGTTATTTATCATTAGATGTAATAACCCAGTGCAATCAGTTTCACTAGCAGATTGTTTCTGCTCGTACCCTGGAGCATTTATAAAACACTTACAAATGCGTCTGTCACCCACTGTTGAGCATTGCTGTTTTTCCAGTTAGGTGCAGGTGGCGAGGATGCTTGATTCTGAACAATAAAATCATGGATGGCGCCACATATGTTGTTCGGACAAGCATTTTTGCCCTTAAAGCAACAGCTGCATTTTACTTGTCCAAGAGGACAAACTCTGTTTTTAGCATTCCCTACTGGCTTATGGTCTGGCTTGAGAGTTTCAACTTGACAGCTGCCACACGTCACAATTGATGGTAGTGATTTTGTAGAACGAATGTTTTGTAAGATATCCGTATGTTGTTGGTCAGCTATGTCATTACAGAATGGTACCAGTCCATCCTTTAAATATCCAAGTCCTAAACCAGCCTTTACCCACTGTCTGTATTTTTCCTTCTCTAAATGAAGTTGATGTGCCATCCTGATACTCTATCAATATCTAAACAAACAAAACATCAAATAATTAATGTTTACATTTTATATAAATAAGTAAACAAGGTCTTGAATTGCAATTTTTTAACTTCAAAATATTGAATAAATATGATATAGCAGCATTCATAAACTACATAAATTACAGGGACAACAAACTATTACAACCATGATGAGATTTTTTTCAACAGATCATATCTCCAGTTGATAGTAAACTAAGAGAATTACATGTATATGAACTTGATTCATTGTGACCATGATATGAGCAAGATTTTTGCATCCATCTTATACTTATTTTGATACTAAACTAGCACTCCGCGAGTCGGATGTGTCGCCTTATGAACAATATAGTTTAGGAGATTATGGCCGGGACAAGAAAATTAACAAAGGGCAATAACTCAAACAAGAGGGCCATGATGGCCCTGGATCGCTCACCTGACACAACTGCATCCAAGCAATGTCTAAAACAAGCATCATGGCCAAGATTGATGACAACTGAGTCAAACATGTGACCTATAGTGTGTTATAAAGATTTTTCCATATTTGGGCAATGTGACCTAATTTTTGACCGGACACAACCCATATTCAAACATGACCTAGAAATCATCAAAACAACCTTCCTGGCCAATTTCCAGGAAATTTGGATCAAAACTGCAGCCACTAGAGTGTTAAAAAGATTTTTCTATTTTTAGCTCCTGTGACCTAGTTTTTGACCGGACATGACCAATCTTAGCACTTGACCCAGAAATCATCAAAACAACCTCCCTGACAAATTTCCAGAATATTTGAATCAAAACTGCAGCCACTAGAGTGTAAACAAGCTTTTTCTATTTTTAGCTCCTGTGACCTAGTTTTTGACCTGAGATGACCCATCTTCGAACTTGACCTAGAAATCATCAAAAAAAACCTTTGTGACAAATCTCCAGAATATTTGATGAAAACTGCAGCCACTAGAGTTTTAACAATTTTTTTCTATTTTTAGCTCCTGTGACCTAGTTTTTGACCAGACATGACCCATCTTCAAACTTGATCTAGAATTCATCAAAACAACCTTCCTGACAAATTTCCAGAATATTTGACTAGAGTGTTAACAAGATTTTTCTATTTTTAGCTCCTGTTACCTAGTTTTTGACCAGACATGACCCATCTTCGAACTTGACCTAGAAATCATCAAAACAACCTTCCTGACAAATTTCAAGAATATTTAGATGAAAACTGCAGCCACTAGAGTGTTAACAAGCTTTTTCTATTTTTAGCTCCTGTGACCTAGTTTTTGACCGGAGATGACCCATTTTCAAACTTGACCTAAATATCATCAAAACAACCTTCCTGAAAAATTTCAAGATTATTTGGATGAAAACTGTAGCCTCTAGAGTGTTAACAAGCTTTTTCTATTTTTAGCTCCTGTGACCTAGTTTTTGACCAGACATGACCCATCTTCGAACTTGACCTAGAAATCATCAAAACAACTTTCCTGACAAATTTCCAGAATATTTAGATGAAAACTGCAGCCACTAAAGTGTTAACAAACTTTTTCTATTTTTAGCTCCTGTGACCTAGTTTTTGACCCGAGATGACCCATCTTCGAACTTGGCCTAGATAACATTACAACAACCTTCCTGACAAATTTCCAGAATATTTGGATGAAAACTGCAGCCTCTAGAGTGTTAACAAGCTTTTTCTATTTTTAGCACCTGTGACCTAGTTTTTGACCCGAGTTAACCCATCTTCGAACTCGATCTGTATTTCATTGAGACAAACATTCTGACAAAGTTTGATGATGATCCAATCAAAACTGTGACTGCTAGACTGTTAACAACCCAATTGTTAGAGTGTTAACAAGCTTTTCTATTTTAAGCTCCTGTGACCTAGTTTTTGACCGGATATGACCCATCTTCGAACTTGACCTAGATATCATTAAAACAACCTTCCTGACAAATTTCCTGAAAACTGCAGCCTCTAGAGTGTTAACAATCTTTTTCTATTTTTAGCTCCTGAGACCTAGTTTTTGACCCGAGATAACCCATCTTTGAACTCGATCAAAACTGTGACTGCTAGACTGTTAACAACCCAATTGTTGACGACGCACGACGACGGACGCCGGACATAGCCCCATCACTATACCTCACCTTGACCACTTCGTGGTCAGGTGAGCTAAAAATAAGAAGTGCAGAGCAGCAGTTTATTTGCACTGCACTTCTTATCAATAAGATATATCATCCAATGAAGTTTCAAGTCCATAGCCTTTATAATTTATGAGAAATGGCCTGGACAAAAATAAAGTATGAAAATTAATAAAGGTAACAACTCAAAAATAAGAAATGCAGAGTACCGGTTCTTGTGCAATGCACTTCTTCTTAATGAGATCTATCATCCTATGAAGTTTCAAGTCCATGGCTTTTATACATTAGGAGAAATGGCCCGGACAAAAATAAAGTATGAAAATTAACAAAGGGCAATAACTCAAAAATTAGGAAGTGCAGAGTACAGGTTCTTGTGCACTGCACTTCCGCTTAATGAGATCTACCATCCTATGAAGTTTCAAGTCCATAGCTTTCATAGTTGAAGAGAAATGGCCCGGACAAAATTAAAGTATGAAAATTAACAAAGGGCAATAACTCAAAAATTAAGAAGATCAGACTACTGGTTCTTGTGCACTTCACTTCCGGTTATTGAAAGAAGCGTGCATACCAAGTTTGAAGTCAATCAGACTTATAGTGACTGAGTTATGCTCCGGACAAGCTTTAGGGGACACCAACACTGACAACGACGCCAACAATAGCAAAAGTAACCCCTATATGTCGCCTTTTCAAGGCAACACATAAAAAGATAGTACAAAATGTATGTACCAATAGGAGGGCCATGATGGCCCAGAAAGTGCTCATCTGCATATAAAAACTCTGAATGACAAGGAAGAAGTAAAATTGTAAACTATTAACAAAAGCAGATATAAAATCTAAATCTTAAATTGACATCATAACATTCAAATTTGTATCTGAAATAGTGTATGTGTAAAAACATCATTTTTTTAATATATACATATAAAGAAAATCAATGCCTCCCCCCCCCACCCCCGGGACAAATTGACCCCAGGGCCTTTATAACAAACTTGGAAGGCACTCACTTAAAATGTTTCATGCTAAATATCAAAGCTCTAGCACTTTGGGTTTTATAAAAGAGGATTTTTAAGTTTAAGTTTTTACTTTACACAAATAAGGAAAATTAATGAGCCCCGTGGCAGGGCTAATTTTAACCACAGGGCATTCACTTAAACTGTGTAGATCCCCATTAGTAAATGATTCATGCTAAATATCTAAGATTTAGCCCTTTTGGGTTTTTTTTAAAAGAAGATGTTTATAGGTTTTTCCTATCTTAAACATAAATGAAAAGGGAAATCAATAACCCCCTGTGGCTGGGCCAATTTTGAACCCAGGGCTATTATTTGGACAAATAGGTATACACTCTCTAGAAGATGTATCATGCTAAATATCTAAGCTCAAAACTTATATCTAAGCTCTAGCTTTTTGGGTTTTCTAAAAGAAGATTTTATACAGGTTTTTTTTCTTGACCCCAGGGCTTTCATTTAGATACCCATAAGAAGACATTTCATTCTAAATAGCTAAGCTTGAGCTCAAGCTCTTTTGGGTTTTTTAAAAGAAGATTTTTTTTACTAAATACATATAAGGAAAATCAATGACCCCCAGAGCAGAACCAATTTTGACCCCAGGGCTGATATTTGAACAAATAGATATATACTCATTTGAAGATATTTCATGCTTAACATCTAAGTTCTAGCTCTTTGTGTTTTTTAAAGAATTTTATAAAAAAAATTATTTCGGTTGCAATGGCAATTTTTTAACAATTTTTAAAGTTGATTGCCAAAGGAACATTCCTGTAAAGTTTGGATAAAAATGGCTCAGTGGTTTATGAGGAGATGTCATTAAAAGTAAAAGTTTACAGACGACGGCCGGACAGCCGAACAAAAAGCGATCACAAAGTTCACCTTGTAACTTACTGACAGATGAGCTAAAATGAGCTAAAAATATAAGCTGGGAAAGCAGAGTAGAGGTGTAACGATTCATCGATACATCGCGATCTGCCCTGTCCTTGATGCATGCATTGTACTGAAATTATAAATTCCAATATATCGGGACGCAATACATATTTCAGCGCGCAATGCATCGATATATCGTGAAAGAATCACAATACACTAATAGTTATGATATAATGAAAAATAACTTTAATCCTTAAGTAAAAAGTAAAACTTCCTAAGTAATATATAAGTACAGTAAATTGTTGAAAGATCAAAACTTGAAAACAAGTTATAATAACAAGTTGAAGAGTTTTTTGTTTTGTTATTTTAATATTTTATATTATATTCGTAATTTTGCTGTGAACAAATGACCAAGTTTTATATATTGAAAATTACAACACAGTTTTTCCTAAATAAAAATATCACTGTAAATACATTTAGTGTTAGCAAGTGTTGGTAATGACATTAAAAAATGTTAAGGTTTTAAAGTTCATATTATACATATTTGTGTTTACTATAAAATACTATGGATTCTGAATGATTTGAATAAAATTATGGCTTTAATTATGAGTTCAGCATTGATGAGGAGATTGTTTTCCCTATCAAAAGGCCTGGGGGCCTTTATTAGGGAAGGGGCGTTTATTAGGAATTTTACAGTATCTTGAATCGTATTGTTTGGAAATTCAAATATTGTGACATGTATCATGATTGAAACAAATGGCAATGCACAGCCCTTAAGCAGAGGTAGAAAAAAAGGTGTTACAAATTTATCTATGTTTCTTGTTTTCTTCAAAATTTGTTGTTATTGTTCATTCAGTCCAGTAATCTGAGAACAAATACTGGACTGGATCTGTCTTCCCTGGACCAAATAAAATCCAGGAAAATAAAAAACAATTCATTTTGGTATATGAGATGTATATGACCTAGGCCTGCTTATATGATAAAGTAAATTGATCATAATTAAATGAATATTACAGAAATTATTACAACTTTCAATAAACTAATAATACTTATAAAACATGCTGTGGTATTTCTCTTATTGTTATGAAGCAATAAGGTCAACCAGTACTACATGTAAATTTGTTATCTAGACCAATGAAAGTCATAGTTTTCACAACCTTTGAAGATATTTCCGAAAGCTTTAGCAAGGTCTCAAGACTTGTTCCTAAGCTTTGCTCATTCAAAGAAATGACGCCAACTCAACTGAAATGGTTGCGAAAACTAATGGTTTATGCACTGGAAGTAAGCATTTCCATATGAGCCATTCCATCTAATAGACATTATAAATGAATAATTCTGTGATTTATTCTAATTGCTAAATAAGACTATATTCTTGATATAAATTATTGATGGAAAGCATTAAATTGTTTCTTTTGTCATAAACTAAGTTGAACATGAAATCTTTTTATTATTACGTGACAGTCGAACAAACATGAATGGCACAAAAACAAATTCTAATATAAAGTAACTTGTCAAAGAATCAAAATTTTACGTTATTGTGTTGTATTGTGTTTCACAATATCAGATGTGAATAACATGTATTTTCTCATTTTCTGTATCATATTGTTTAATAAAGAATTTCAATTTTAGCAGAGTAACCGTCTTATATTTAACAAACAATGGCATGTAATATGCCAACAATTGGTCAATTATCATCTGTATAATATCCAACTCAATGTTGTTATTTATAATATCCTAAAAAAATATTCAAGATTAATCAATAAACTGCATTAAGTATAGGTTAAAGTTTATTCCTAGGTATTCACGGTCCGCCCTGTCCAAAAATATGGTCTGGCCCTCCCAAACATATGGTCTGTCATGGTACGATCCGCCCTGTCTGTAATTCGTTAATTGATGCATACACATTAGGTTGTTTTTCTCCCTAATTATCGCGAGGAAGTCACTTTTTTCCATTAAATTTCCCCCCAGGATGAGCCCTGATTCATATATTAACTTCTACAATAACTTTGATGGAATAAAAGACATTTTATACAGTTTACATGTGTGAATGCATTTTACGAACCCTTCCTGGTAATGGGAGGCCACAACTTGCATTCCATGTTTATACGGGGAAGTTAAAGAGCGGGCCCGCGAAGCGGGTCCGGGCTTTGGCTTGCCCGGCTATAGACATTACGTGTATATTTAAAAGAAAATCAAATAAAAAACAATTAAAAAATATATAGAATTCTATACCTATCAATGAAATTTTCAGTGTCAGTTCTAGTCGGGGGCCGCCATTTACAATGTAACTCAATGATAAAAGGGGGGGGGGTATTCTGATAACGGAACAAATCTCAACTTTACAGATAAATAATAAACGTCGAGTGTTCCGAGTGAAAACGGAAGCGGTGCATGTAATACCGAATGACACCTTTAAAACGGAAAGAATAAAAGGAATTTCTTAACGACTTCCCCGTTCATAGGCTTTGCCTAATTTCATATTATCATATTCATGTATATAGATTTAATAAAAGAAGGACAGATTTTCCTGTGAGCGTCTGTGGTACTTTTCAGAATGTCTGAATTTGGTCAGATTATGGACAAATTTTATTTACATTATTGGTATATATTTGTTAAATTGAGGTCAGAAACTGGTTAGATTCAGGTCTGAAATAATTAAGGAACGAAATAATTAATTGGTTTATAATTTCTTCTTTCGTTTTCACCAAACACCTTTTGGTAAATTATCAAATCCTAATAAAATTAGTTTAATAAAGTATTCATCAAAATTATGATTTCAGATAACATACATGATTTACAAATGCTTAATAAATGGGTGTTACCTTTCCATTTGAAAACATCTATAATTAGCCTAATGTGGGAATTCCCCCAGTTTTTCATAAATCTACTTTCGTTTTTAATTGTTAATTTTTTGTAATTTGTGTTGGCACATTAGTTATTTCTGTTTCATGAAGTAATCATTTCGTTTCAGTATAAAATATGTAACATAACGGCTACAAGATTTAAAAGATACTTACATCAATTTCTTCAAATTTTAAGAAAATCTTATCCTGGACTAACCGCCGCCATACTGATACTTTTTTTCAATTTTACAGCGCATGCGCGATGCAATCCGGTCAACTCGTCCCCTGGTCAACTCGTCCTCTGGTCAACTCGTCACCTTATAGCGTTTCCGTAAATGTGTTCTTAATGCAATAAAATTAAGTATGATAATGGCCTTAGAATTTTGTTTTGGTTAAAAAAATTACAATATATATGTTACTTTGTTATAAAATAAATCTAATAAAAATGTGATACATTTGTTTGACCGGTTCCGGTGCAGTTTTTCAACTTTTGGTATCTGCATATGTAAATTAACAAAATGTTGGTTTAAAAAATGTACCTGCTAGCTAGTTGATATTTGATTCGACTTCAAGCCTAACAAGTATTAGGAAATATATTATCTTTTTTCTAGTAAGAATACTGCTTGACTGAATCTGGTTGGTTTCACCATTTCCGAAGCAAGTTCCGGTGCACATACATATAATTATACAACGTTACAAATGCCATTTGTAATATTACCTACGAAGAATTTGACTACTTTTGCGAGCTAATACTAAAACTAAATCTGTACACTACAAACTTTCAGTCTTATTTATTATTTTAATATTCATTCGGAGTATACATGTATATGGTATTGTAAACATTAATATAAATAATATCTGTCAACACTGATGTAGTAGGGTCCGAAATACATCTTTTTGTTATTTATCACTTTCTGATGTTTTCATATCTTTGCGCTAATTTTTATTAATGCTGAATACTCTTCTACTTGGAGGTAGAGCGGGAATTTGGTCAGCGTGAGGAAAAGGCGGTCTTTTTGGCGTGGGTTAGATATTTATCTTTAAATGTAGTTAAATGTTTAAGTAATGGATAATTTCTTACATTAAATATATTATGCTGTATTGCTAAATCATTCCTGTATTTTAATGTTCACTTATTTTGGCTTTTTATTTAAATTTATACCTTGTAAATGTTTGACATTTTGAGATGGCATTTTTGATGACCGAACTTCTTATTCTTCTTCTTATTTAACTAATATAACTAGTTTCGGATCTCAAGTCTTTAAATGCATAATACTTAATATCTAATTTGTTCCTGTTTAACAGCACCAGTTTTAGTATTGGAGAAGAAAGATATGTGTGATAGAAAGATAAATATAAAGGTTTACAGACTCCTTAAGTTTGGTGAGTAACCTGAGTAATTTGTAAAGATATGTATGATAGAGACGTGTGTTTGATAGGGACGTGTGTAAGTTATGTAATTTGTATTTTGATAACATATCTTATATTTTTGATAAATGAATATGAATGAATTATGATTAAAACGGACCACTGAGCTGCATATGTTTTATGTAAATAATAATAATATATGTAATAATTAATAATATGATGAACTGAATTGATAATATATATATTCTGTTCATATATGTATATTTATATATTTTCAGAACCACAAATATAAGAGGTCCTATGGAATGTCATTTTGATGTACAAAACCGTAAATAAATGTTTGACTGAAGCAGAGTGTTATTTGTATGCTAAACCGTATAGACCAGTCCTGCCACAAATGGAGCCCCCAGTGAGGATAACAACAAGAAGAAAGTAGAAAAGAAGTGAACGAAGAAGTGTAAAACTGTATAATTTCTACCCGCCATATTTGTTTATTTAAATTACATGGTGCCTTAAGTGGTGCTTTTATAAAGAGAAGTTGTGATAAATTGTTAAATAATCTTGAACTAGTTCAAAGTATTAATAAACTTGACAATATAGTTTATATGACAAGCATTTTATTGCCATAGATTTTCTACATTGATTAATCAACTCAGACATTGATTCTACACTTTCAAAGATATGACATTACTTATTAAGGAGATTCAGATTGTTTAAAGTTTCAACCCATTAGAATAATATCATTTCTACTTCCGAGAACACTCGCTGTGCTTTTTGAGAAGAATCTACAACAG